TCCCCGAGGTTATCAGATGCCTTCGGCTGTAATTCATGTCCTGTCTGATCTAACACATGTGCGCAGGCCTTCTCGCAGCTACGCGCAGCTCAGGGCTTGACCTGAACAGTGTTTTCCGTTTTCGTTTTGTTTTCGTTTTCTGTTGTTCTGTCTTCGTCCTGCTTTTGCTGCACAGCGATACCAAAACGAGAAAAGGTCCACGAGATCGCTAGAACACCATTTAGGTTGTTCCTTGGCGCAACTAAGCCTCCGCCCATATCCCTCCCCTTGCCTCCCTCCATCCTTCCCTCCCTCTCTTCATCCTTCCTCTTTTCCCCCTCCCTCCTGCATCCAAGCACGGGTCTTTTCCACCGGAGGAGGTGGTCCCAGACGTGACAATGTAGCACGCGGGGATGGAGCATCTCGCCGCCCCCAAGTTGTTGCTTGCAAAAAACAAGCGCTACCCAGCGCGGGCCAACAGCAGTGCGAGACGGCACTGTGGAGATGAGCAAGCTGATGGGGTGAACACAATGCAGTGTAAGCTATGTCGTGTAGGCGAGGTGGTGCGAGCTATGGGGTTGATCCCATGGGGTGCAAACTGTGTGGTGTAAGCTGTTGATGGTAGACACTGGCATGCTCTCCTGCCTCTTCCCAGGCGCCGTTTTGGATCCTACAGGGGCTTTGAGCGCGTTGGGAGGGAGTCCCTTCGGCCTATTCGCGCGCACGCCAGGGAAACTAACCCCTGCTTCAACATTCGTAGCAGTGCTTCGGTGAAGCGCGTTCGATCCACGGATCTACGGATGACTGCGCCTGGAAGTCAGGGCAGCGAGCCCACAGCGAAGCCGTGCGGAGCGTCGGTGACGCAGTCCCTTGCAGATCGGTGATGAGGCTGTGCCTGGAAGCCAGGGCAGCAAATACATGGTGGTGCCGTGCAGAGCGTCGATGACGCTTCACGGTGCGGATCGCCAACGAACGGCCGCCCCCGCCCGAGTGGCAGAAACAGCTACGATGGGTAATTGCCCCCGACGGTTCCGGGACGCAGCGGGACGGAGTTCCCACGATGTCGCCACCCAGTACGATGGCGATACAGAACAGGCACAGGATGACAGCCCCCAGCCGTTCGGGGGTGCGCTCACGCGAACGCCGGGACGCGCTGGCGAAGCCAGCCGCCCAGCGGACTGGTGGGCCCGGGATCGCTGACAGCAGTTCCACGACCACTGGGCGCGCGCACGGAGCTCCAGCCTCGCCGAGGCCCGCGGCCGAGCAGTCTGCCTCTGGTGGCAGATGCTGCAGGTGCTGCAAGCGTGCGGCGTGGAAGCCTCGGGCTGGGCGTCTCGGCCGACAAACGCTGGACCGGGGGTCGGCGCCTCCGCCGATGATGCTCACGGATGGCACGTCCACGCCTGGGGCGGACAGGGGGGGCGCCCCGCTGGATTCGCGCGGTTGGCGCCAGCACCTGGAGCACCGCGGCCCCCAGCGGGGCGGGCCTGGCGCTTCGTAGCCCAATCGCCCGACCTGGCACGGATGGAATCCGCAGGTCCGGCAGTGGAGCCCTCGCCAGGAGTGGCAGGAGTGGTGGAGCCATGAGCTTGCGCCGTGGACCGATACCGCAGTCAGACCTGGAGGGCAACAAGGCAGCCGGCCCGTTCGGGCACAGCGCGGAGCTCAGCCTTCCAATCGAGCACTAGGAAGACACGCGGAGGGCGGAGCTGGTGGAGTTAGCCGCGGAAGAGCTCCGATGGCAACGAAAGGGCGCGGAGAGAGCCACGTGTGAGCAGTTGCTGCTTGCTCTCTTCGGGGAACGCGTGCCTGGGGGAGCCCCGAAGTCGCCGAGTGGAATCGGTTGCGATCGCTGCCGCAACTGTCGGTGGCGCCATCGAGGTATGCCGAAGACAACGAGCCGAGGGGCGCTGCGAACGACGAGCCAGCAGACGACGAGAGCAGCGACGGAGCGGATCCGGGGCGCCAGGAAGCTGGGGACGACGATGGCGACGAGTCGAGGAGCGACGCGTGCAGCGACGGAGCGTATCCTTGTCGCCTGGGCTCTGATGCGGAGGATGAGTCGTCGTCGTCATCGGCTTTGTCGTCATCGTCGGCGTCATCGTCGTCGTCGTCAACGTTGTCAACGTCGTCGTCGTAGTCGTCGTCATCGTTGTCGTCGGCGCCGGCGTCGTCGTGAAGACGCTTGGGCGGAGTCCCCTCTGAGCGGCGGGCAGGGAGGAGGCGGGCCCTGGGAGGGCACCGCCGAACTGGCGGCTGTGGCGGCCCCAGCCGCGCGCGCAAGAGCCCCGCGAGTCCATGTGCGCGGCCTGTGACCCCAGGCGCGCGAGCAAAAACCTCGCGAGTCCATGTGCGCGGCCGGTGACGCCAGTCGCTCGAGCACAAGCCCTTCGCGAATCCATGCGAGCGGTCAGTGACCAGGTCGCGCGAGCAGATGCTTCGCGAACCCACACGTTTTATATATCCTGTATCTTGTGCCCGTGGGAGCTGCCACGCGGCGCCTGGGTCACGGTTATCTGGGCGTGGCCTGGCGGGGTTCGAGGCAGAGAAGGGGAGAGTCAGTGTTGAGGATAGGCATTGCCATGCTGTCCTGCCTCTCCCCCGCCGCCGGCTTGGCTCCTACAGGGGCCTCTGACCGCGGCCTCTTCGTGCGCTTGCGTGCGAAAAGGATCCCTACTTCAACATAGTGTGCAATCTACGCGGGCAAAGCCATGTTGTGTCAGCTGTGTGGTGTAATACGCAGGGGAAGCTGTGTCGCGAAGGCTAAGAGTACGGGGCGCCCACGAGGCGGCGCGGACGGCAACTTGGCGCAACCTCGGCACACACAGACACACACGCACACACACACACACTCACTCACTCACTCACTCACTCTTTGTTCACACGCACACGGCAAGCGGGGCGCCCACGAGGCGGCCCCCGCGCCCACGAGGCGGCACGGGCCGCAAAGTGGCGAAGACCCAGAATACCAACCGAAGCCAGCACCCCTAAGAGCAAGCACTGCTTGGGGAAACGTATGGGGCGTTCCCAAGATTGCCTTGCCTTCGAGGATCGAAGGAGTTGCCATCTCTTCCGCGGCGGAAGGTGGCGGAAGGGCGGCGGAAGGCCGGCGGAAGTACAACGATGCCGCCTTCGCGGCGGAAGCCGGCGGAAGGCCGGCGGAAGGTGGCAGAAAGTCGCGGACATAAAAATGCGCTCCCAAGAGATGAACACGGTTTTGGGTTCAGGGTTTCCGAAGTCGCCCATATGCTGGCACTCGGGGATTCGGAATTTGGTGCTCAGCGACGCCCTCGATGCGCATTGCACGCGCCGTCGCGTTGTCCACGACCGCGTTGCTCCGCTCAGGGCGCCGCTGAAAGCTCGCCGATGCAGACTCCGCGAGCCCAGCGGCGCCCGCAGCGACGCCCTCAGCGAGCGCGCCTCCTCCGTCTCTTCTTCTGACATCCTCGCGTTTTGAAAAATCACGACGGGCAGTTTTTGGCAATGTTCGGCTTTCGCAAGGGCCTCAGTTGACCCCAGGACCGTCAACAAAGAAGAAGTCAGGATGAATCGCCAGCCTGGGGAAGGGGGGCCACGCTGCTGAAAGAACACGACGTCGGACGTCTGGGTCCTCACGCGCGCCGCAGCAGACGCCGACGACGGCCGCGCCCGCGCGCGCGCGTGGCCATGGCCGAGGCCGCCGGCCCTGGCGGCCGCTGCTCGCACGCCGTGCACACCCCTACCTGCGGGTGGAGGCCAGGCGCGCGGCGACGGCCTCGCGCCGGGGCGCGTGGTGCAGCGCGGCGCGTGCTCTGACCCCTGGCGTCGCGCGCGGGCCTTGGCCAGCTTGCGAAGCCCCCAGGGGCAGCGTTGGGGGGCATGGGCTCACGGGGGGACGCATCGACCGCCCCCCCGTCGCCCAGTCCTCGCACATTCTAGGGTGCCCGAGGGCCCACCCCGCCCGGGGGCGTCCAGGTTCGTAGTCGGGTCCTGTCGCCGACCTTTCGGCGGCGCCTCGTCGATTCCAGATCGATGCCCCCCCCCCCTGAGCCAGTCCCCTCCCAAACGTTAGACCTCGGCCCCTCGGCCTCTGCAGGCTCGTCTTGGGCTCAGGGGCCCTCGTGTGCAGGCGGGCCCGACGTGGCAAGTCCCTCCTTGCCCCTCGTCTCTCTTCGCCCTCTCCCGCTGCTCCTCCTTGCTTCCTCTGGGCGAGGCCTCCTTCTCAAAGGACGTCGGAGGTCTGGTTGACATGGTCATGGACCTGCGTTCGTGCTTCCGTGCTCGGCGTGCCAATTCGGGTGCAGGCCAGGTGTTTTCCAGCAGCAGTGCGAGGGAGCACGGACAGGAACAGTCTCGGATGTGAACAAGACGTGATCGCACATGCTACCATATTCTCGATGCCGTATGTCCGTCGCGCCGTGGCCCTTCCAACTATGCTGCGTGGTCCTGTTCGTGTCAGGTGCGCGTGGACTCGCTCCGTCAAGGGCGCCCTCGAGGGCGCGAAGTTATTCGCGCTTCGCGCTTCGCGGTTCGGCTTCGATTCCTCCTCTTCCTCCTCTTCTCCCCTGGGAGGCGGCGCGAGAGCGCGAAGTTATTCGCACTTCGCGCTTCGCGCAGCGCGAAGCGCGAAGCTGGGAGCCCTTGCTCAGTCTTGGGGAGGCGGGCACACACACACACATGCAAGGGTTCGGCGGAGCGCAGACGAGCCGAGGCGGGCGAGGCGGAGGTGAGCAGATGCTCGGGTGCCGAGGCGCGGGGCAGCGACAGCGCCAGAGTGAGCTTGGCCATGCCCAAGGAGTTTTAGCAAGGGCTCCCACGAGGGCGCGAAGTTATTCGCGCTTCGCGCTTCGCGGTCCTCGTTCCTCCTCCTCGTCCTCCTTTTCTCCCTTTGGGGGGGCGGCGCGAGGGCGCGAAGTTATTCGCGCTTCGCGCTTCGCGCAGCGCGAAGCGCGAAGTTGGGAGCCCTTGTTTAGAGCTTGTGCAACTGCTTCGCGAGAGGTGAGGGGTGTGTGTGTGTGGCGCGGCGGGAAGACGTGTTGGCTCGAGGGAGCCCTCCGGCGTTTTTCTATTCTGCATAGTTCCGTGATCCAGCAGGTGGGTGGGACAGTGCAGCCCCGAGTTTCTGCGAGATCTGCACGATTCGATCGCGTTCTCGTAAACCTTCAGGCGGTGCAGTGACAGCGTCGATTCAGGAAAGTGTTCGGCGTTGGTGAGTCCCAGGTACATATTCTACCGCTTAGAGACAGTAGCGATATTGTGCGATTTCCCCGCAAGGGTCCTCATTATCGACCGCGAGACCCTCAACCTCCTGAGTATCTGACGGTTCCTTGTCCACGGAGCGTCTGGGACGTAGCTCCACGATCCACGATGCGACCGAAGCAATGCAAGTAGTAGAAGACAAAGACGCGAACGGTGGCACGCGAAACAAGCAAGGTAAGGTAGCACGAATAACGCGAACGAAGCAGCACGCTGCGTAAACGTAGACTTCGGAGGCTCTCGCGGCGATTCATCGGCTCCGCGATGGGCCCCCCGCCCTGGGGGCGCCGCTGGAGGCGCAGCCAGGGGCGTGGGGAGGGGGGCTCCGGCGCCGGCCAAGACTATCCGCGCGGACCTCCGACCAGGCTCTGCCAAGGTGCAACTCTGTTGCCTTTCCAGGCGCCAGGAAGCTGGACTTTCATGACGCGGCCGGCGTGGGCAAGCGCTGGACACGTGTGGCCGCACGTCTTCACAGCGTCCGCCCTCGTGTGGCTGGGCACGGTGGCACTCCGCGTGTGTACCCAGCGCGTGGCCCCCGGATGTCCCACGTGCGAATCTAGTCGTGTGTGCTTTCGCCTCTCCGGCTCCTCGCTGGTGCAGCCAACTCTGCCTCGCCGCCGACGGCAAAAGTGTTCCCGGCTCCGGCGCCGAGAGGCGCCAGGAAGACTGGCCGCGTGCAGTTGGTTCGTGAGCCTCATTCTTTCCTGGCAACATCCCTACTCTAGAGCATCCCGGGCGAGAGCACCCCGAGGCTGGAAAACTTATGAGATGCCAGCGTAAACGCCCGAAAACCTCGGACCTGGATGTACAGTACATTCGTGACGTGTCGACTCGGCGGCGACCGCACCGCGGGGCGTTCAAGGCTGAACGCCACCAACGGTCGTTCGTCAGGAGGGGAAACAACACACAGACACAATCAATCGTTCACTCCCAGGAGAATATGGAACATATGGGAAGTGGGGGGGAAGACAAACATTCAAAACATACGCGCAAGAGTGGGGAATCATCCTGTTTGTGTGGATTTCTTTGTGTGTCCTGGGGCCCCTCCAGTTCGTCCCACCTGGAACGATCTGCGATCCCGCAGAGCCGCCCTCGCCCTCGAGGTGGAGCGACCCACGCGGCGCCGCACGCGGGGCGCACAGGGCCGCCACGGCGTGGCCCCCGGGTCCCTTCCTGCTGGCCAGGGGGGGGCACGGCGCCGAGCGGGCCCCGGAGGCCGAGATCGAGGAGCAGCTTGGGCGTTGCGTAATGGAGGGGTCATAAATACGGTAGGTTTGCGTCGTGTCGACCGGCGGCGACCCCAGCGCGGACGTTCAAGGTTGAACGCCGCCGGCGACCCAGAATCGATCGATGTTGAACGATTGGACGTTGCGGAAATGGCCGATCGCTCAAGGTTGAACGATCCCTGCGGTGTCAAAAACCAACGCCGGGGTCGGCACGACACGAACCTGCCGTAGGGGGGTGGCGAGGGTGGTCCGAAAAGGTACCCAAACGGTACCTAAACGAGCCCCCTGGGACTCCAGAGGGGCCCGAAAGGGGCACGAGAAGGGACCGTTTCTGACCCCCCCATTTATGACCCCCCCATTAAGCCACGCCCAAGCAGCGCCTGGATTGGTTCGATCATGCCGTCTGTTTTCTCGCATCGCGAGCCCCCAGAGGCCTCGACCCATTCCCCAGGACCGTCGCTCATCGTCCCGAGTCGGGTCTTGACGGTCCCGGGGCCCGGCAAGGGCCCCAGAGGCCGCACGTGGCAGCAAGACATTGCCCGTCGTGTTTTTGTCCACGTCGCGAGGCTGCCTGGGTCCCGCCCACCCTTCTAGGCCTCCCAAATGGGACCAGAGCTGATGGGGTTGTAGGATCGCGCCGCATCGCCGAAGCATCGGCGATGCGGCTCGATGTGGAGCTCGATTCTCCCCACGCTGACGTCGGCGATGCATCGGCGATGCACTGGCGAGGCGGCCGGATCCTCCGACCCCGTCTGCTCGGACCCCTCTTGGGAGGCCTCCAGCCCTGCAGCCCGCCCCCACGCGTGGGCTTCGGGGTGCCATGGCCCCGCCAGCGCTCCCGCTGCTCCTCTGGTCCCTGGGCGTGCCAGCCTCGGCGTACCGGCCGAGCGGCGGGGAGGCGCTCGAGGCCCCCGCTGGTTGGCGGGCCGATCAGGGGCAGCGCTGCAGTCAAGACGCTGACATGAGTCAAGGGAGGAAAAACCACCCGGACATGACAATTGACGTTTACTAAACGGCCTTGGGCGTTTACTAAGCAGCCCTGCCCTGTTCGATTCTTTCCCTGGGTGCGTTTACTACACGGCTTCGCTTGTCGGGGTGATTCTGATGGGGGTGGGTGTTCTGCCCTCTAGTGAGCGCCGCTCTGGGGTCAGGAGGGTCTCTCGTGGTCGGGCCGTTCCTTGCACGCAGGTGGGGGGACCCCAGATTCGTGGCCGGGGTTCGCCGGGGCTGGAAGAGCAAGATCCGTTCCTTTTTCCGTACTAGCACGATGGCTGGCAGAGGAGAGATCCTGCTGGGAGGCTGTGAGAATCAGATAGGCGAGGATGTGAGATTTAGGGTCATAATGGAGTATATTTCCCTTCCGCCCATGGCCGTTGTGGCTCATAAGCTGGGCGGGAGGGTGGACGCACCGACTCACTGTTTGTTATGAGTACGGCGATAAATAGATCGTGCTAATCTTATCTTGTGCTTGCGTCAAGTGCATGGTGGGAGGGATCGTGTGCTCTGTATTTGCACTGGTAGCCTGGAGCTGTATCAGTTCTACGGTTGCGCGTTCTATACCAGAGTGGCCGTGCAGACCTACATGTTGGCGCTCAAAGTTCTCGCGTTGCTTTGCCAGTGCGTTCTTCACATTTCAGTTATCGATACGATGAGCATCATCACTTGCAGCCTGGGCGAAAATCGTTGCCGCGAGCCGGACGGCAGCAGTGATAACAACAACATTGACTACGAGCTGGACGGCGGTCCCATCACTAAAAACAAGATGGCGACCAGGCAGCAGCAACCCAACGACGGACCCCTCTTCGTGGACAAGGAGGGCGTCGCACACTACAGCGGCGACCCAGCCTACGGCGAGGAGTTCGAGGAGCGTGCGATCCTCGGCTATTATGCGAGCGAAGAGAAGCTGCAGAAACTCTACGCCATCAACATCACGAATTCATTGACTGGGCGAGCGCGGAAGAGATTGCAACGCAAGCAGCGTTGGACAAATCATGTGATGACCCACTTGCTGCAGTGAAGATGGTGGTGGCAAGGGTACGGCAGGCGTGCGAGCGGATCGCCCCACTACAGAAGCAACAAGCGTTCGAAGAGTATTTATTCAAAGGTTTTCGCAACATACCGGAGTCTGCGCAAGTCTACATCTTGAAGCGGGGGACGGAGTTTGAGCGGCTTGAGTTTTTCTCAGCAAACACGACAGTCAGCGAAGATTTACGGACGTACTTCCTACTAAAGTTGGCCAGCATCAGCATGACCGACCGCACTGCTATTCTCGGGCAGTGCAACAACGAGTACATATGAGATGATGTGACGGCGGCAATGCTCATCCAAGTGGACACGACGTGCAGAGACGAACGTGGTCACAGACGTTGTGGAGCATGCCCGGTGGACTACGACGGTGACGAGGAGGAAACCCTACTTGGATACGAGTGTTGCGTATGCGATGAGGACGGGCTCCTGAGGGATGAAGACTATGACTCGCTGGCAGCCGACATCGATGAGTTGGAGCGGGCGGTTGACGACGTCGGCCCCGAGGAGGTCAGCCAGGAGGAGTGCGACACTCTAGCGGCTGAGACACAGCGTTTCGGGTGGAAGGCTGGACGAAAAGGCCACAGGCCCAACTGCAAGCAAACCCGGGAGAGGCTTGCACAGAGCAAGTCCAGCCGAGGCTGGAAGGCCAACATCAACAAGCAGGGATCCATCAAGATGGACGGCAAGGAAGTCGAAGAGAAGCTACATTCGACAACGCCCGCACGAAGTGTTACGCATGCCGCGAGGAGGGCCATTGGAAAGGCGACCCCGAGTGCGAGAAGACAAGACAAGGCCATCAGGTGGCGGGCCATCGGGCAGCCTACAGCGTGGAGGACGAGGTGGTGGCCGAGGCTTTCACGGGCGACCTGGAGGTTTCCTGCGACGGGCTGGGTTTGCGATGGCAACGGCTGTGAAGCTACTGATGGCGGGCAGCTCAATGGGCATGACTGCCATCCAGATCGTGAATGACCAGCTGGCGAACAGACACCACGATGGAGGATATCGCGAGTCTGGCGAGGGTGTGGATCGACACCGACGATCAGAACGTGAACACCTGGACGGTATCAGCATTTGGAGACGACCGAGGTACGCGAGAACCTGAGGGTAGCGAGGACCAAACGCCAGACTCTGGATCAGGACAGACATGGCCCAGCAGATCGATCACCGACTGCCATGAAGAGGATGCCACAGTGGCAGGCCTACAGATGATCAAAGATCGAGCAGCACAGGCTGCAGCAGTATGGGTCAGCTGTGAAAACAAGGAAGCAGCCTACAGGGATTACATGGATTGGTGCGTGGACTGGGCACTGCGCCGGATCCGCCAGCTCATGCACATCACGACGGAAATGGCACCACAGGGACTCAGGAACTTGCAGGAACTTGGCGTGCGACCTATGCCAAGCATCCTGGGACAGTAGCTTGGACATGCGAGACATCGCAAGGAGCACCTGCGAGCACCTACCTCATGGAGCGCGACCGACATGTTTGTGGATGGACCGATGGAACGCAGGACGGGCGCAGACTGCAGGCCCACAGAGGATCGCGCACCATCATCTGGCCTGCAGGTGAACGATGGGGAGCTGGAGGCGACCGAGGCCTACGCGGTAAGGAAAGGACTTATTCTCGATGGACATGCTGCACTGGGCACGGCGTGCTTACGAGGATGCGGAGGTTCAGTAGCGTCGGACGGCTACGCGGAGGACAGCAGGGTCACTGCGATGATGAGGGGCTCATCCACGCGAGTCCGAGGCGTGAATGATAGCGCCCTGGCCATGGCAGAAGGCGAGCAGGAGGTCACTGCTGGACACGCAGGAGCCGACGTGAATCTGCGATTCGAGAGGCTGACGAAATCGAAGACGCCAATACTGCTAAGCATCCACTAGCTGGAGGGGCCAGACGCAGCGGTGTGCGTGAAGGAGCGGAAGGCGGACTTCAAAGCGATCAACATGTACGGGGTGCCGTTCAACAAGACCGAGAAGGGGCGCCTGGCGATCTCGCCCAAGGACTGGCCGAAGAAAGAAACTACCAAAACAGTGCCATCAGTTACGACGGATGAGATCGACATCTGGACCGCGGAGTTGCAAGAAATAGACGAGGGCATCCCACGACGAAGGCAGAGGAAGCAGATCGAGGCCTGGGAGAGAGAATTGCAGGGCAAGCTGGACCAGCGCCAGCAGGTCGTGGAGTTGCTGCAGGCGGACCTAGAGGAGAAACGGCGTATCACTTGCGAGCTCTACGTTGGTGGCGTGGCAGCCGCGTTGGAAGCTTCGCAGCGGCGACGCCCTGCTACGAGACCAAAGGAAATCCTGACAGGGGACGACCTACTGGACATCAAGTCACAGCGGAAAATGTTGAAGCAGCTGGACGAAGACGACCCCCGCGTGACTATCGTGGGTTTTCCATGCGACCCGTTCGAACACATCGCGCATGTTTCCGCGGAAGACGAGGGCGATGAAGCTAGCAACTGGCATGAAGCACCTGCGGTTCGTCAAGCAGATCTGGCTTAACTGCAAGCGTCGAGGAGCGCGCATGCTACTGGGGAATCCGCTGGCATCCAAGGCGCGGAAGCTCATGCCGTGGCTAGGCTCAGAGCATGCGGCCGCGATGACGCACCGGTGCGCCGAGGGCAGCAACCTGGTGGACATCCTGGGCGATCCCGTCGAGAAGCCGACGTGCTTCCTGACTGCGGCCATCGTGCTGGGCGCCAAGCTCAACAGCACCAGGTGCGACAACGCGCGCGAGAGCACGGGCGTGACCAACAGGCCGCAGCGAACAGCATCAAGTCTTGGCAACTGGGCGGTCAACCTGGCTAAGACGATCACGGGCGGCATCGAGGAGCAGCGGGGCCTCGCGAAGCAGCGCGGTGGGCGCGCCAGGTGCGCCGACAACTTCGAGGACACCGGGCTCGACGAGATCGAGGCCAATCCTGCAGAGGCGGAGGCGCCCATGCACGCAAGTGCAGCGTCGATCTTCAGCGAGCTCGGCGACACAGTCGAGACGGCGGCATGGGCGGCGGCGCCGCCACCCATGCGAGCAGCTATCAAGAAGATGCACGAGAGCCATTCACATGGGCCCTACAAGGAGTCACTGGTACGATACTTACAGCACGGTGGAGCTAGTCGACGAGCGGCGCAGGCAGCGCGACTCTGGAGATGCACAAGGTGTGGGTGTCAGGCTCGGACGGCAGCAAGACCTGCAGCGGTCCAGCCAAAGGTTAGAGACCTCCACGAGGCCTTTGACATGGATCTCATGCTCTTGCCCGACATGGACAATAACATGCAAGTGGTGCTTGTGATCGTGGATATAGCATCGGGATTTACAGAGGCTATCTACACGTGTCCTGGATCCAGACCGACGGCAGAGTTGGCGAAAGAAGCTTTCGAGCTTGGGTGGCTGACCCGGGCTGGGCCACCTACTGCGGTTGAGCAGGTCCAGAGTTCGAGACACTGCGCAACGACCTCGGCCTGGTGGTCAAAAACGCTGCGCCATAAGCTCACTGGCGACTGAGCATGGTCGAGAGGAAGATACGTGACCTAAAGGAAATGGCGACGAGTGTCTTCAATGCTGGAGAAATTCGTGGCCAGGATTCAGTTGCAGCTGCAGTGCGAGGCGTGGCCGACGTGCGCAGCCATCTGGTTGGCACAGCGGGCTTTTCACCGCAGCAGTGGGCACTGGGATCTGGACATCGACTACCTGCGAGTCGGGTGAATCCCGACAACGACTCAGCAGTAGTTTCCAGGGTAGCTGAAAGAACATCGCTCTGGAATCGGCTACACCTTTAGCAGATATGCTCGGAAGCATTTTCAAGGCAGCTAACTCATCTTCTTTGAGGCGGGCAGTGCTGGCAAGGACGAGGCCCCAGCCGTGGCCCTTCCAGCA